AAAGGTGAAGGATGGATTGCAACCAGATCACATCCTCAGGAGTAACATTAAACTATCTCAATGAAACTTTCCTGGAATTGCTGAAATAGTCTGGTCACACACAAATTCATGTGTTCTTAAGGAATGATTAACCTATATGTCCTTAAATTAATCTCCATATCTACTTTTTGAGCTACTTCATGGTCTTGGTCTTACTTGAAACTATATTTGTTGCTAAACTTTATGGTCTTTCTACAAAACCCTGTTTGTTTTCTAAAGTATCCTCACAAGATTCCTTTCCTATATATTCTCCCTCCATTCTTGATTTTCTACTCACCAGTGTTGGTTATTTTTCTATTCCTCACTCTTTGTATCTATCTTTGAATCATTTTTTTTTTACTTTTTGCATTCCATCTTTCCTCCATATGTGTCTCAGTTGTTCCTTTTCTTCAAATGATCTATCTGGGAGCTAGTTTTTCTTAGTGATCAGTTTTCCATTGCAGACGTGGCTCCTATGATTAGCATTTTTCTTACTCATTGTATAGGAAAATTGTTTCCTAGAGAGTTCTACAGGATTCCAGAACCAAAGACAATTAGAGAAACACAAAAACATAAACAGATAGACTTAGGGGAAATTAGGGTTTTGAAGGCTCTCTGGCACTTGGTCCCTGGGTGCCAGCAAGCAAGAATATTTCCTTGAGTGCACATAGGGAAGATTACTATTGATAACATGTAAAAATGAAGTATCTATAATAATATTACAATCAGAGCCACAACAGGTTGTGGGGGAAACATATTTCCTTATTCTCCTGAGACAGAAGACTGGTACCCAGAGAAAATGCAGACATGGAGTTCACCTTACCTAGCCCTCAAGGTCAACAGCACCTCAGTTTCAGCTGCTATCTTTCCAAAACTAAGGAAAAGGCCTGCACTCCAGGTTCTGAACCCTCTCCAGAATTCTCTTTTAAGCCTTCTGCAGCCAGCTCTCAGTGCTCTCAGTGCTGTCAGGTTGGAATTCCAACCTCTCCATCCTTTTCCCCCTCAGCTCAACTTCAGAGTTCCATACAGAAAAGTAGTTCCTTCCCCCAATTGATACTCTACAAGAAAATCTGATTTCTCCTGCTTCTGTTATCTTTGGTCTAACTTCATTTGATGTGGTATTCAGTTTTGTTTTTCCTTCCCACTATTTTTGGATATTTTAATTCACTGCCAGTTTAAGATTTGAAGTACTTTTGATAAAAAAAAATAATACTGTGATGAGTTTTTCTCTATTAGAAATATCACTTGTTGCAAAATCTCACAGATGTTTGCTCAGGAATTTATTTTGATCTCTGAGGAATTTCACTATTAACTAACAAAACTGGAAATATATCCTTAGCGATCTACTGTTGAAATGACTCAGGAATATGTGCCACATTTGAGCATTTGGTCATATTTATCATTTTTGTCATCTTGAGTGTTCCTTGAGCCTGCATAAATTAGCCTCCACCTTCCATGAAGGCCTATTAAAATGAAAATCGTGTCAAGGAACATTTTATTCCCCTCCTACCTAAATTTTGTATTGTATAATGTAGGCAAACTTTACAAAACTTCATGGTAGCAGTTCTTTTTTATGTAGGAAGGAAATACCAGGGTATCTATGACCACATTTCAATATTTAGTATTTGAACCAAACATGGTTAACCTAGGATTTTTTTTTCTTTTTTTTGGGGAGGTGGTCCAGTTGTGGGGTCTGAGCGCTGGGCATGGGTCCTGTCCCTCAGCTCTTCAGCTCAAGGCTAGCACTCTGCCACTTGAGTCACAGCGCCACTTTGGGCTTTTTCTTTTTGCTTATGTGGTGCTGAGGAATCAAACCCAGGACCTCATGCATGCAAAGCAAGCGCTCTACCACTGAGCCACCTTTCCAGCCCAACCTAGGATATTTTTATATGGGAACTAAATCAAATCTTATAAGGGCCCCAAAAATCATGAGCTTCTTTCTGCAGTACTGCTATTGTTTTTTAATATTCATGTGGACACTACTTTTCATAGATCTGGTCATGTTCTATGTTCTGTATTCCATGTGATATTCTGAATATGTTCTGTTTGCTTATTATAGTACTTGTTAATAGAAGATCTAAATAGGATGTATGGTGATGTAGTACATGTAAATGCAGGAAAAATATTTGTGTAATTCATTGTTACCCTAATATGTACTAAAATTTTATCAAAAAATGATAATATAATTTTTAAGATACCGCCTTAGACTTATTGTTGTCATGACAGATTATTGTCTCCTTAGAATTTTTTTTTTTGGCAGGGGGTCTGGTCCTGGTGCTGAACTCTGGGCCTGGGCGCTCTCCCTCAACTCTTCAGCTCAAGGCTATTGCTCTACCACCTGTGCCATAGCACCACTTCTGGCTCTTTTCTTTTTGCTTATGTGGTGCTGAGGAGTAGAACCCAGGGCCTCATGCATGCAAGGGAAGTGCTCTACCACTGAGCCACCTTCCCAGCCGTCCATAGAATTTTTACCTTGTCTCTATTGCTAGCAGCAGAAATGTGTTTGCATGCATTAGGGAAACTGTAATTTTTTATTGGTCTTGGGGCTTCAATTCTGGGCCTGGCTGTTGTCAATCAGCTCTTCGGGTCAAGGTGAGTGCTCTACCCCTTGAGTTACAGTGCTAATTTCAGTTTTCTGGTGGTTTATTGGAGATAAGTGTCTCATGGACTTTCCTGCCTGGACTGGCCTTGAACCTTGATCCTCAGAACTCAGCCTCCTGAGTAGCATGGATTACACGCATAAGCCACCAGGGCCCTACAAATCTGTGTATTTTAATGACCAGGTTTATATATTGTCAAATATTTCTAATTTGCTATTTAATTCTCCCAGTGAATAGATAACACAGCAAGCTACAAACATTTTATGTAAGACAAAAGCATACCTTCAGCATAATGAAATTCCAGATTGGAGTTCTCATAACCCAGGTCTGATTTCTTGATGGACATGTGCCATTACAGAATTTGATATCATTTGAGGATGTGGCTGTGGACTTCACCTGGAAGGAGTGGCAGGATCTGGATACTGGTCAGAGGACCCTTCATAGAGATGTGATGCTGGAGACCTATAGCAACCTCATGTCCTTGGGTGAACAAAGGTCATTTTTACTTGGAAGTTCAAGTGTTTTTATTTTATTAGACATTAGACTGTTTAGGTTATTTAGGGATAAGATTCCAGTCCATTGGAAGTTTCATTTCTTTCTAAGGGAAACTTCAACTTGATTATATGTAACTCAAGAGCTAATTTTATTCTCACTCTTTAAGAAAGCAAATCAGTAGTTGGAAAAAAATCCTAAACTATGTTCCACTAATACGAGACTGACTTCCCAGACTTGGAATGATTATTGAGGTGGATCTGCAGTCTAGATAGAATATACATTACAACTGATTATGATGTGGAAATCAGTAGTTGAAAGTGTGTATTTGTACACCAAACCCGATATAGAGTTTAGTGCTTCAAGCTTTGAATTCTAGATACTCTGGAGGCTGAAATCTGAAGATTTTGATTTGAAGCCAGCAACTGTAGAAAAATGACCATGAGACTCTTATCTTCAATTAACCATTCAAAAACTAGAAATGTAGCTAAGATTCAAACTAGTAGAATGCTATCTTTGAGGAAAAGAGCTGAGTTCAACCACACAATTGGCACAATAAAGGAAAGGTGGGGAAACTCTACAATTGGGCTGTTAAGAATTGAGAAACCCTGGTCTGGGAAGGTGGCTCAGTGGTAGAGTCCTTGCCTTGCATACTTGAGGCCCTGTGCTTTGATTCCTCAGCACCACATAAGCAGAAAAAAAAGCCGGAAGTGACGCTGTGGCTCAAGTGGTAGAATGATACCAAGACAGGGATTCTGATAAAGCTGCCAATTTTTATTTTTCACACAAGGGTATTTATATGCTTGGAATAAGTAAGCTTTTTCATTGGCCGAAGCAGCTGCAGGGTGCTTGCTTAGGGCAAGGTGAAAAGGTGGTTGTTAAGCTGTAGGGTGTTTACTTAGGGCATGGTGAAAAGGTGGGATTGTGTAGACTCAGCCTCAAGATGTTCCAGTGAGATAGTTCAGCCTATTATGTTGAGAGACTTAACTTTTGGCTCCCAACACTCCCCCCCCCCAAAAAAAATAACAATTGAGAAATAAGATTTAGTAGCAACCTTGGAAACAGGATGTCTGCGACCTTACATTAAAGATGACCCAGCAAGAGCAATAGTTCTCCAGTATTTCTTAATCACAGGGTTCTGTGTTCCTAAACCTAAATTGATTGTCAAGCTGGAGCAAGGTGCAGAACTATGGATAAGAGAAGGCTCAGAAGAGAATTTCACAGGTGAGTTAAAGCATCTTGAATGGTAATGATGGGTCCAGAGCCCAGTTGGTCTGTTTAACTTGAGCTGTACAGAGCAATAGTATTCCTAGTGCTGCTGAGTCATGTATGGAAGAGAACTAGGTGATCCTTTGTCTCAAGGAATTGTCAATCCAGAATTCACGTGGAGACAAACTGAATTTGGTATGCCAGTGTAGTTAATGTTAGCAATTCTCCTGTCTTTAGAGAAGTCCTTCTTGAAGAAAGAAACACAATGAGAAATGTAGAAAAGGAGATCTCATTTTCCTTTAAATTAGTATGATGCAGGTAGGAGGAAAATAGGAGTATGCTAGGGCTGCTATCCTCTGATCAGGACAATTTCTTGTCAGTGGTGCTAGGCTTAGAGTGAGATTCAGAATTGAAGCATTAAGAGTACATAGATGAATAATTTGAGTAAATATTTCCTGGAGAAAAAAAGAAAAATCTGAAAAACAGAAAACATTGTTTTCTATTGTAAAATGGCAGTACTACTTTCTTCATTACTACATTGTGTAGAAAAGTATATATTCTGCATAAAACAATGCTTTAATATTTGAAAATCTTGTAACAGAATGTGAGGAAATACCTTTACAGTAAGGAATTTATGGATCTCATTTATGTTTTTGTCTATTTTTCTATTATTCATTTTAGATGTCCAAGAAATAGAGGATGTGATTAGCACCTGTCAGGAAAATCACAATGAATATCTATCTGAAGTCCTGACTAGTAACCAAGGGGAGGAAAAAGTGAGACTTATAAGAAGCTATAATTTGAGCTCAAAACAGAAGTCAGAACTGATTAAGAATAATGGGAACTCCTTAGGGATGAGGACAGAAAAGGTCACTGGGTGTCAGAACATGGATGCTTTCAGTGAACCTGGTAAGATATGTGCTGCATATAGACCTCATGTGTCTTCTGTAGTTGAAGAATATAAACAGTGTGAAAGGTCTTTCACCGAGAAGACACACCTTATTCTCCCTCAGAGAACACAAACAGGAGAGAATCCTTATGAATGTAACATGTGTGAAAAGATTTTCACCTGTAAGGCATATCTTACTGTCCACCAGAGAATCCACACAGGAGATAAACCATATGAATGTAACGTGTGTGGAAAGTGTTTCACCCAGAAGCGAAACCTTACTGGCCACCAGAGAACACACACAGGAGAGAGACCTTATGAATGTAACATGTGTGGAAAGTCTTTCACCTGGAAGACACACCTTACTGTCCACCAGAGAACACACACAAGAGAGAAACCTTATGAATGTAACATGTGTGGAAAGTCTTTTTCTGGCAAGCCAGGCCTTACTGGCCACCAGAGAACACACATAGGAGATAAACCTTATGAGTGTAACATGTGTGGAAAATCTTTCACCTGGAAGTCAAACTTCATTGTCCACCAGAGAATACACACAGGAGAGAAACATTATGAATGTAACACGTGTGGAAAGTCTTTCACCCGGAAGGCATACCTTACTTTCCACCAGAGAACACACACAGGAGAGAAACCTTATGAATGTAACACGTGTGGAAAGTCTTTCTCCAGGAAGGTACAATTTACTGTCCACCAGAGAACACACACAGGAGAGAGACCCTATGAATGTAACTTGTGCGGAAAACCTTTTACCTGGAAGTCATCGCTCACTGCCCATCAGAGAACACACAGGAAAGAAACCTTATGAATGTCATATGTGTGGAAAGTCTTTTAGACAGCAGGTATACTTTACTCTCCACCAGAGAACACACACAGGAGAAAAACCTTACGAATGTAACATTTGTGGAAATTCTTTCACCAAGAAGTCAAGCCTTATTCACCACCAGTGAACACACACAAGAGAGAAACCTTATGAATGTAACATGTGTGGAAAGTGTTTCACCTGGAAGTCAAACTTTACTGTACATCAGAAAACACACAGGAAAGAAAGCTTATGAATGTCATATGTGTGGAAAGTCTTTCAGCCAGAAGCCAGACCTTACTGTCCACCAGAGAGCACACACAGGAGAAACTTTATGAATGGAACCTATGTGGAAATTCTTTCACCCAGAACATACACCTTTCTGTCCATCAGAAAAAACCCCACCAGAGAGAAATGTATGTAGCAGGCACGGAATGTAACAAATGAAATAACTTAGGATCGTACCAAGTGGGGAAAGTCTTTCATCTGTAAGAAAATTGAAATTGCAACACAGAACCCACACGGCATAGAAACCTTATGGTATAGCAGATATTGAGTCCTCCAACCAAAACACACAGCTCAGGGTTCATCACAAAACACACAGACACACACACACCCACTCACACAAGAGGAGAGAAATTATATGTAGGAAAAATAAAAGGAAAGGTTTTAAAGAAAAAGTCATAACTCAGTTTGCATCAGAGAACAGACACAAGTGAGAAAATATAAATGTAAAAAATGTGGATAGGGGGCTGGGAAGGTGGCTCAGTGGTAGAGTGCTTGCCTTGCATGCATGAGGCCCTGGGTTCAATCCTCAGCACCACATAAGCAAAAGGAAAAAAGCTGGAAATGACACTGTGCCTCAAGTGTTAGAGCATTAGCCTTGAGCTGAATTGCTGAGGGACAGCGCCCAGGCCCAGAGTTCAGGCCCCACAACCGGACCCCCCCCAAAAAAATGTGGATAGTGCTTTACCAAGTAGTCGTGGATCCAGGGACATAGGACACACAGCAGAGTAATCTTAAAAATATTACAAATGTGGAAAGCCTTTGATCTGAAAGGAATAGCTCAGTGTTCATCAGAGAACTGACTCACATAGGAAAAAAGAAAGTAGTGCACAGAACATTTTTGAAATGATTTTCAATCAGAATTGAAGCCTCAGCACATGTGAGAGCATACACAGGAGAGAAATTATGTGTATAGAAAACATTTTGCCAGAAGTCACATCTGTACAGGTATCAGAGACATGGACACATTACAGAATCTCTGTAAATATAAACATGAGAGGAAGTCTTTCAACCAGAGGCCAACCTTCAGCAATTATTAAAACATTCACCCAGGAAAGAAGCCCAATGTAGGAAAACCTTTGTCAGAAAACGTCTGTAAGATGCTGGAGGTGATGTGGACAGAAGGGAACCTTACTTCATTGTTGGTGGGAGTGTAAACTTGTTCAACCACTTTGGAAAGCAGTATGGAGGTTCCTCAAAAGACTTCACATAGAGCTCCCCTATGACCCAGCAATCCCTCTTTTGGGCATTTACCCAAATGTTTACAAACAAGATCACACTAAAGCTACCAGCACAACTCTGTTTATTGCAGCATTATTTACCATAGCTAAGATATGGAACCAACCCAGATGCCCCTCAGTAGGAGAATGGATCAAGAAAATGTGGTATATATACACAATGGAATTCTATGCCTCCATCAGAAAGAATGACATTTGCCCATTTGTTAGGAAATAGAAAAGCTTGGAAAAAATTATATTAAGTGAAGTAAGCCAAACCCAAAGAAACATAGGTCCCATGGTTTCCCTTATTTGTAATATCTAGTATATGTATGAGTCAAGCAGAAAAGGTCAGATAATGTGATGTTAGGAAAATGAACCCTTCGATATGTATTTAAATGGCTTTTTTCTTTCATACATTTGTTTCTAATGCATTTATAAAATTATTTCTTTGTTGCTTTGTATGTCCCTCCCCCACAGTATAACCCCTGCTTTCACTGTATTTGATGTCAATATAATTTGTGGAGGAGAAGGGGAAAAACAAGTCGTTTAAGTTTACAGGTGGACCTGTTGCAACGATGAGAAGTACAAGTTGTCATGTCGAAAATGAACTTTAAACTTTGGTAGGGGGTGGCAGATTGCATAGGAGGCCGGGGGAGGCTGAGAAGTGATGTGAAGGGTAAACAAAGGAGGAGGCTGCAATGCTTGATAAGAAATGTACTCATTATCTCACCCATGTAATTGTAACCCCTCTGTACAGTATGTTCACAATAAAAAAAAAAAAGAAAACCTCTGTAAATTATACAGAGAAATCCTTCATGGCAGAGGTAAGCTGGGTGTGATGGGAAACCATTCTTCACTCTTCAGCTCTCTAAGCCAACATTTCTCATCCTTTCATTGTGTTGAGTGGGGATGGTGTCATTTAATATTATCCAAAGCATGTAGAAACAACCAGTCTCGACAGTAATTCAGAGATTGAAGTTATTAAGTTGTGGTTTTTATACTAAGAAATAGTTTGTTAGGGTAATTTGATAAACTCTTCTTAGAAAAATGAGCTCTGGCCCTTTGGTACTGGATTCAGATCATCTCCAACATGGCTAGGGGAACAATAGATGGGTAAAGACTGTTATGATAGGAGGCAAGAACATGAGAACAACCAGTTTTCTACTGCTCCCTTATGTCTCCCTCTGTATGTGTGATCCATGCCTTATAGTACAAATGACTTACTTACTCCAGTTCATTTTTGAATGGAAGATGTGATGGAAGATATTACTCCTTATTGCAGTACATCCATGGTAGTAAAATCTTTCCCAGAGCGGTAACAATGCTTGATAGGAAATGTATTCATGACTTCCTCATATAATTGTATAATCAATCTATACAGTATCTTTACAATAAAAATTCAAAAATGTGGTGGATAAATAAAAACAAGAATCTCTGTATTTTGTCTTGGGGGAGAACCCCAAAATGTCTTCAGCCCTTGCTTTTTTCTTTTATTAATTACTGGTGATGAACAACTTGTGATTGATTCACTCTTAGCCCATTTAGTTGTTCTGCTGAGTGAGCTGTGATAAAACACCAGTGTGGACGATGTTGTGAGCCTGCATTTTCTCAATGTTCTAGAGGCTGATTACAAATTTTATTGCCCTTACTTTGAAATACAATATGATGTTCCATATTTTGTTTATGCAATGAGTTTATAACCAAGCCATGAGTATATATCCAAAACCCAGAACACATATATTTCTGAAGTGGGTATTTTTTTTTTTGGGTCCAGTTGTGGGGCCTGAACTCTGGGCCTTTGCACTGTCCTTCAGCTCTTCAGCTCAAGGCTAGTGCTCTACCACTTGAGCAACAGCGCCACTTCCGACATATTTCTTTTTGCTTATGTGGTGCTGAGGAATCAAACTCAGGGTATCATGCATGCAAGGCAAGCACTCTACCACTGAGCCATCTTCCCAGCCCCGAATACATATATTACTTTGATATGAGAAGAAGGCTTTCATTTGCTATCTCATAAAGGACCAAGATAGATAAGACATTAGGAGAAATAAGACATTTTCCAATCACTCGCAAATATTTAAGTTAAAGAATAAAACTATCTGCTACTTGAGGTATAGCATCACTTGTAGGCCGAGAGGAACGAAGGAAGGAAAGAGGGAAGTGAGAGAGGGAAAGAGGAAGGGAAGGAAGGAAGAAGAAGGAAGAAACAAACTATTCAAAAGAAGAATGTTTAATATTTGGTGAATGTGAGAATTATTCTTTCAGAGGTGGGGCTCAAGAAAAATGGCTTTTACAAAAAGCAAATTCTTGAGCTGTTTAGAAAATGATACAGATGCTGTAACATTTTATAAATTGATTTACTAATTCAGTAATATTAAGTAAGGAGGTAAGGTGTGGCTGGTGCCCTATTGGACACATGGTGGATGATGGGGTCTGGCATCTTGTTTTCATGCAGGTGGAAGGAAATGCCCCATCCATCACTTGCCTCCCAACTG